TCAGTTAGCACATACTTATAGCTTTCAGCAGTCAGAACTATGTCTAAGTTCCTTTTTCAATTAATGTAATTAGGACCAGTGAGTTGATTTTCTTTTAGGATAACAGACAACGGATTGAACGACATGATGAATAAACCTGAGAATTACGAAAATATTTTACTGATTAAACATTTTGAATTTAACTGTTAATATTGACATCCTCAAAACAATACTAACTTAAATTCACCGACATCCTTAAACCTTGAGAATTTAGTATGATGCTCGGGCAACTCTACTAATTCTTCGTTTCTTTAAAGAAGGGTTTTTCCAGAACCCATTAATTTCCATCAGTCAAAACCAATTTCATGACGAATGAAATTAATAGTCGGTCACCGTTTGGCCATGCAATAAAAATCAGGGACCCCTCGGGGGGTTATGAAATGAATCGCATTCTAAGTGAATCCCATTTCTCGGTCCCAAGGTCGTCAAAATCGATTATACGTTCACCTCGGGGTGACCCGTACGCTCTCATTCGATTTCCTCTAATTGTCTAAATTTAGAAATTCATTCTGATAATTATCCTTCAATTAATTTCAAGTAATGTCATCCTCGGGGAAGCCCACACTATCAATTAATTGATTTACCAACGAATTAGAAATGGAGGCCTTAGGAATTTAAAATTATCTTAACTTTAAATATCCTTCACAACTTAGTATTTAAATGAGGATTTTTAATATATATATCTCTCTCTTATATCTTATATGAACGAGTTATGACGATTGTGGTGGTGACACGTGTCCATTTTTGACCCTCCCAGTGGTCGACACGTGGCAGTTACTTTTTTTTTCATTCAGCCAAAACGGTACCGTTTGCCTTCGTGATATACATTTTAATTGATTTGTATTGTTTCGATTTACGCTTTTTTTATGCTGAAATGAATTGTGTTGACATTTTGTTTCTCCTCTACTGAATTCCCGCACACGCAACGTTTCAGATCTGATAGCCACTTTTCCGTTTTTTCAGCACACGCCATCGACCGAGAAAATTGAAACTGAGATATATCCATTATGTTCAATCTCAAACCCCAAATCCGCGGATCTCTCCTCTTTTCGTTCCTCTCCTCCAAACAAGATTTCTCTTTTTCCTTAAAACCCTAGCATAATTATTATAGAATCGAAAATAATTCCGTCGGCGATGAATTCGAAACTCGCTGTTCGTGAAGTGGACGGCGGCGATGGAGAAGGAGGAGGTGGCGTGGTCGGCGCAGTAGGGGCGCTTGCTGTGGGAGCCGTCGTGCGGTCTTGTGGATGAATCAGAGGAGTCTAGGGCGAGACCAGTTGATGAGTTTGATGGCGCACGATTCTATGGTGTCAAGGGAGTCCAATGAGCACGCCGTGGGCAAGAAGCTCCGCCATCAACCGCTGCACTTACCTGATTCAGGGTCATCGCCGTCCTTGAAATGAACTGAAATATGGGGCCTTGAAATGAATGACTTACTGTTACTGCCTTATGAAGTGAAATTAGCTATTATGAGTGATAATGCTTATGAATTTCTGTTATTTTATCCTCTACCCTGCATCAAACACTCGCACCCACATTTATTCTGGTGATGCAAATAGTTAATTGCACATTACTCCATTAAAGCCTTGTTTGTGATTAATGCCTCAACCGATACCTTCAGCGTGTTTCAGGTGGCATCATCCTTGCACCAGAAAGAATCAATGGGAGCATATGTGGGACCCGTCATTCGGTAGAAGAAAACGCCTGTGAGTCCGGAGGAAGATGTTGGTGTTATATACTTAAGCTTTGCTTTAGTGGATATTATACTTGTTATTCC